TGGAGGGTCTTGTTTGATCTCCTTTTGCATTTTCCTGTTGTGCTCTGTTGTCCCAGGGGCCTGCAGCCCGCTTTCTTCTTCTTGTAAGATCTCTAGGCAGGAAGCATGATTGTTCTCTGGTCTTTTATATTTTCTGTGGCAGCTGTTCTCAAGCTGTGTTCCAGCTACTTGGAAGAAGTGTAAAAAGGTAGAGAATCCCATACAATCATGAGTTCAGAATTAGCAGGTCTTGGAGAAGGCGGACTGAAGAGTCTGCATGTTTAACAAGCTGCCTGGGTGATTGTGACCTGGAGTCTGTGTCTATAGAAACTGTGTACAGACATGATAGGAGCATACTTGAACTGCAGCACAGAGCTAACTGAGGAGTGCTTGCAGGCAGCACTTGTAACCCTGAGGGTGGCTTGAGAAGATGCAAATTCTGTTTGCTTCCTCTCTGCTTTCTACACTTTCTGCCTAGAGACCACTTGAGAATAGAAGAGGTGGAAAAGGATCACAGTAACAAGTTATTAGAGGCTCCTGAAGCATGGAATGAGTAGAAACTCTTTTCCCCAATAAGTTTATTTACTTGTTCCAGAACCATTTGTTGAAAAGACTACCATATTTCCATTGAAGAGCTCTGGCCTCTTTGGTGAAAGTTGATTAATCGTATACAAGTTGAGTCCATTTCTGGATTCTATTCTGCTCCACTGGTCTGCTTGTCTATCCTCCAACTTTGTTCTTTTTTTGAGACAGTCTCACTCTGTTGCTCTCTGTAAAGTGATAGTGTCACATAGTGTATAGTGTCACAGCTCACAGCAACCTCAAACTCTTGGGCTTCAACAAGTCTCTTGCCTCAGCTTCCCAAGTAGCTGGGACTACTAGCGCCCACCACAACACCCGGCTATTTTTTGGTTGTAGTTGTCATTGTTGTTTGGCAGGCCCAGGTGGAACCTGCCAGCTCTGGTGTATGTGGCTGGTGCCCTAGCTGCTGAGCTATAGGCACTGAGCCAACTTTGTTTTTGAAAATTTTGTTTTCTTGCTGATTCTAGGTCCTTTGTAATTCTTTATGAGTTATAGCCTCAACTTGCAGATGTCTAAAGAAAAGATTTGGGGGATTTTGATGTGATGATGTTGAATCCATAGATCAATTTGGAGAAATTGTTGCTTTAATAATATTTACTCTTTCAATCTCCCCCACATATAATACCTTTATTTAGATCTTTCATTTCTTCCAGAAATGCTATTTGTGTGATCTTAGTGAATAAATCATGTGCAACTTAAGTATTTATCCTTAAATAGTTAATATTTTCTATGCCATTGTAAATTATGTGTACAAATTTTCTCTGTTTTTTGCCTGCTGCTATATAGAAATACAAATGATTTTTGTGTACTGACTTTGTATCTTGAAACCTTGTTAAATTTATTTATTATTTCTAATAATTGTTTTGCAAATGCCTTAGGATTTTCTGTAAACATCATTAAGTTATCTACAAATAAAGGCATTTTTACTTTTTCCTTTCCAAAACATATGCTCTTTATTTCTTTTTCTTGCCATATTGCACTGGCTAGGACTTACAGTGTTGAACAGAAGTAGTGAGGCCAGGCATGGTGGTTTACACTTATAATCCTAGCGCTCTGGGAGGCCGAGGCCGGTGGACTGCTTGAGCTTGGGAGTTCAAGGCCAGCTTGAGCAAGAGCAAGTCCCAGTCTCTAAAAATAGCTGGGCATTGTGGTGGGCACCTGTAGTCCCAGCTACTGAGGAGGCTGAGGCAAGAGAATTGTTTGAGCCCAAGAGTTTCAGCGAGCTATGATGCCATGGCACTCTACCGAGGGTGACAAAGTGAGACTCTGTGTCATAAACAAACAAACAAACAAACAAATAAATAAAGTAGTGAGAGCGTGGCTGGGCCTGGGATCTCATACCTATAATCCTAGCACTCCCAGGGAGGCCTAGACAGGTAGATCATTTGAGCACAGGAGTTAGAGACCAGCTTGAGCAAGAGTGAGACCCCTCTCTCTACTAAAAATAGAAAACTAGCTGGATGTTGTGGTGGGTACCTGTGTCCCAGCTACTAGGGAGGTTGAGGCAAGAGGATTGCTTGAGCCCAAGAGATTGAGGTTGCTGTGGGATATGGCACTCTAATAGGGTGATAGAGTGAGACTCTGTTTCAAGAAAAAAAAAAAAAACACCTCAAAAAACAAAAAGAAGTAGTGAGAGCAGACATCTTTCTCTTGTTCCTGATCTTAAGAGAGGCGTGTTCAGTCTTTTACCATTAAGGAGGCTGTTAGCTTTAGGATTTTTGAAGATATTCTGTCAGATTGAGGACATTCCCTTCTATTACTGGTTTGTTGACTTTTTATTGTGAGGAGGTATTGAAGTTTTTCGCACCCTTTTTCTGTATCTGTTGAGATGATTATATGACTTTTCTCCTTTTCTTCTGTGAATATGGTGAATTATAGTGATTGTCTTAAATGTTAAACTGACCTTGTATTATTGAGATAGATAACATTTGGTCATGATGTGCAATACTTTCATTTATTCTTGGATATGGCATGTTAATATTTTGGTCAAGGTTTTTAGGACTGTGTTCATGAGAGGTATTTTCTTATAACATTCTT